CAACCCCGAGAGGTGCGTCTGCCCATGCCAAGGGGCACCCCTGCCCTTGCCGCTTGGCTTGCTTTCTCCCATGCAGAAAGTGTGATCGCAGAAAGCCTGCAGCCATCTCCTTTGCTGACCTCTGTCCCTGCGCTGTATGCTGCCCCTTCCCCTCTCTGGTTGCTTACCTTATTACAGAGCTTTTCCTGAAGATTTCACTATGGTACAAACGCCTCTCGCCTTTCTTTTTTCCTTAAACACAGCAAATTAAGCTCCGAACAATTCTTTCCAGCTTGCCTTTCACACGTAAAACCTGTGTCCTCGAAAAGGACCTATGTGATTTAAAAGCTTGGCTGCTTTTCCCTGGCTAAAATTTGATTCCTATTGGGGTGCCTTTTGCCTCACTCAGGCTGGCCAAATCTGGGACCCATACTGATACTCAGGTTCTTAAAACGCCAGACATGCCACCTGAGAGGCTATAAAAATGTGATGCAAAGTTCGGGTTGTTTAAACATCTTTTTTCCCCCTTTTTTTTTTCTTTCTCTCTCTGTTTTTTTTTCTCCCTCCCTCAGGTTTGACCGAATTGCTCACACAAGGGACACAATGAGCTCTGATGGCTTAAATACACTATCTTACAAGGTGTTAAGGACTGACAAGTATCCTCTGTATACAAAGATCACAGTGGATATTGGCTCACCAAATAGCTAACATCACAGAGAAGAGAACTTGCCTATGTTGCCCAGGACATCTGGCCTCATTGATGCGTTGTATCTTCTGGTTTTGTAACAGTTGCAATGAACAACAACAACAAAAAAATAAGGCCTCTTTTGGTATGCCAAAGCATCTCCAAATCTGTGGGACAAGTGCTTTTTTGCCTTTTATTTTTTTTAATTCCAAACTTGACTTACACAACTTTCTAGCTCTCCATTGTTTTGTAAGTCCAGAAGCTGTACATAGGAGTTGTAAATATTTACTATGACAGAAAATGGTGAATCTGATCTATTTGCTGCAGTGCTCCCCATGTTGAGTTAATTGCTGGACCCAAATTTTACTGATTACAACTGTGATGCATCAGCTGTTACTGTCCATGATATTTTGATATTTTAAATGAGGTGGATGAAAACATTCCTTTTAATTAATTCCTGGTTTTACTTTATGAAGGACTGTAAAATGCTGCTAAAATTGTACAAGTTTACGCTTTGCAGTAGATATTTTTTAATGGAAACAATATCATATTTTTTTTTCTCATAGTGACCAAAACAAATATCTCTGTGTGCAAGTGTTGATCAAGTCCAGATTCAATGCATGTCATTATTCCTTTTAGTCTCAAAAGAGGCTTTGAGTGAGCTGAGCCAGAATTTGCCTGGGAGCTCTCTGCATAGGGTGCTTCACAGATGGCTTCTGCAAAAACCACTGGCTTCAGATAACCTTACTTCTGGATGCGATAGTGACTTTTTGCCTTAGCACGCCAAACCTGTTTTTGGGAGGGGTGGAGAGGGGTGGTTTTGGCTTTTTTTTCCCTAAAATAAAGATGAATTAATTTAATTGTGCTATGAATTGATGGCCTTAAAATTCGCTGACACTTGTTAACAGTGGTAGAAGGTTACCATGCTATTTAAACATTGTCTGAAGATCCCTAAGACCAAAATTTTTCTTGCAAGGTAAAGCATAAAACTTGAATTCATTTATTACTTTTGTTGTTTTTGTAACATTTTAATAACTTTTTAAAGTAATTTGTATATCGCAAGCAGTATATTTAATACCAGATTAAACTAAAGTGCAGCATAATAGGATATGATTCAAGACCTCCTTTATCTTCAAACTTGTAGGCTTTTTATGTGCGTCATTATATATAACCATGTATTATATTTGCTCTGCATATTTGTCCATGAAATCTCCTGCGATGCTGAGATATTCACAGCAGGGCTGACATCCAATTGATTTTTCTTTGGCTAAAGCCTCTTGCAATGTGTGTCCTCTTTTGGAAAACTCCCTTCTGATTTTCTCAGGCTTGGAGAGACATGCATGTTTTGGAGTACTGCTTTTTGTCAGTACACCAGGGCACCACCTGTACAGACACCTTGCTTTCCCTTCCCATGACTAATGGAAGCCTCAAGGGCTGACACCCTCAGAGCTGATGTAGGTGATTTAAAACTCCTGGCCAGAACTGAGAACTGAATTCCTTCTGGCGAGTGCTTTGCTACCAGCTCTGACCACAGCAATTTGCACTTCCTTGGCCTGTGCTGAAGGCTGTTGAAATCAGGGACACTCTGTTGTATTGGGGATCATCTTCAGCACTGCCTCTTTTTTTTTTTCCCTTGGTGTTTTTTGTTTTGGAGTTTTTTGTTGTCGTTGAGACCTGAAGGTTTTGCTGAACCCTTGCACTGCGGGGGTGGGATCCTGCAGGGCCAGAGGACTGCGTCTCTCTTTAGGCCAACAGTGACTTAAGGTTTGCAAGGAGACTTTAATTGCTGAGGAGACACCAATGGCTGCCTTTTCAGTCTCACT